AAACATATCCCCCATGGAGGGATAATTGCCTTAGAGACGGGAGAGAAGCCCTAGTCCCTACTTCACAGGACCTATCAGATCTACATGACCCCAACTGGATGGCATTCCCCTACATATGGAATTGGGTGGGGGGATGGGAGGGGAGGGTGTTTAGAGTGCATGTGAGAGGGCAGAGAGGGTAAAAGGGAGGGCAGAGAGGGAAGGAGGGAGGGAAGAATGGGGGGAGGGAGGGCGGGAGGGAGGGAGAGGGAACTGGGATAGACACGTAAAATAATAAATTAAATGAAAAAAAAAATGCTTTGACTCCAAAATTTGAGTTGAAGGACAAGTTACTGGGGAAAAGGATTTCTATTTTTGTTTCCACAGAAAATGAAATGTTGGTAATCCCTTCCAGACTAATGTGGTTTGATCACGCCAGACCGCCTGAAACAGAGTACAAGGTGATCCTACATTCTAAACAGCTGGACAAAATAGCACTACAGACTTCAGCCAGGATATTTGAATCTTCTTCAAATCCCCCATGACAGCGCACCTTACCAGCAGGAAGTAGTTGAGAAAGAACGACGCCCAAGTTCCCAAATATTGTGTATAAATGTTTGTTTTCGTTTAATTGGACTTTGTTATATAAAATTAAATAAATAATAATAATAATAAAAACTGACACTAGAAACTTGAATAAAAAAAATTGTAGCATATACATAATTAAAAGACTGGTGTTATTTAAAAAAAAATAAATGTCTTAAATGCAATGAGAATTTAGACATGGAACACAGTACAGTTTGTATTCTAGCCAGATATCAGAAACCCTTACTAAGGCACAAAAATTTAGCATCAGCACATACAATATATGACATGCCTGATATATGAGAGATGGTTCCCATGGTTAAGCACAACTCCTATGTCTTTATTTCCATAGGACCTGTGCATAATTTCCATCAACTACACCGTAGCTCACAGCCATCTGTAAAACCAATTCCAGGGGGTCTGATGCCATACACTGGCCTTCTCAGCCATCATGTATGCATGTGATACACAGAAATAACATGTTAGAATTGACATAGTCATGGGATACAACCCAAAGAGAGTAGTTAACAGGAAGGCACGCCTCCCAGGAGAGAGAAATGCCTTGCAGTGAACTGCAATGTGGATGCTGGGAACCAAGCCCAAGTAATCTGGTCTAGAGTAGCAGCCTGTCTTAACAACTGAGCCACCATCTCTCCAGCCACAGACACTTCCCTCTGTAGCAGCTAAATTATCTGTACTGGTAAAAGGTCCTAATTTATGCAACCATGATAATGGGACACTGCCTAGTTTTATTACTCTCAATGTGAAAGAAAACATTTATTCAATTAAAATTCATATGATTAAATTTACAGTTAACTTTACATTTGTCTACAACTAGAAGTTTCTACACAACACAGGTTTATAGACATAGCCTTTTGAGTTTAAGATATCCACAACTATAAGGTTACACATATAATAGCATAACAATTATGGACGAGGTTATAATCAAAAGCAAAGATACCATACAGAATGAAAAAAATGGAAATAATTTACTCATAAGATACATATTTAAATCATGCTTCTTTACAAAATATTGTCCAGAATTTACAATTCCATTAAGATTCCATTTGAGCAACAATAGAATCAAATAAGCAACAGCAGTTGCTAAAACTGAAAATAAGAAGAAATGACTGCCTAGGAAACAGCCAGGTCTTCTTGTGTTTCAGGAGGATCCAGGGCAGAATGGATGTTCAGGTGCAGTTTGTTTGGCATGGGGACTCAAGTCTAGATGGAACTCATTTCTATTTTCAGGATGTGAGAGGAGTTGAAAACTCTGCTCTTGGTGAAGGGTAAAATGGAATGTCCCTTGGTTCCTACATATTTCCCCATGTTCCTAGATATGTGTAAAGGAAAATGGAAGTTGAACCCCAGTACTGCACACTTTATAAAATACTAGCTCTGTATCTATTCTGATATCCAAATATCACACCACAATATTTAATCTCACAAATAAATCTTGACATTGAAAAATGGACATGGTAGCTACACAGAAATATGAGTACATCACCAATACTTTCAGGTGTGTTTGTCCTATCTTGGCAGATACCCAGATAACAATACACTGGAGACTGAATGTAAAACAGCTCTTCCATGTAGTAAAATACTCAAAGTTAATGATCAGATCAGTGATCCTGACCTGATATCCTACAAGAATCATTTCCTGTAATTCCACCTAGGACAACCGAGCTGCTTCTTGTCCAGTATTGCAAACATGATATACTGTGTAAATCTTATGATTGCAAAGGGGAAAGTATGCTGTAAAATCAATAAATTACTTTTATTTTAAAATATAAGCATAGGAAGGAATTTCAAGGAATTCAACAAATAACTATATATGATCTTAGATTTTAAATATGTTCATGTGGGAACTACTATATAGGAGACATACTTAAACTCTTGTCAGTAATTTTAAGACGAAAATATAAGTAACCACCTTAAATAATGACCTCTATATAATTCTACAAAATGAAATACACAAAATTTTAACCTAAAAACTGATTAAAGCTGGGAATTGGTGGCACAAGCCATTAATCCCAGCACTTGGAACAGAGCTATGCATTCGATCTCTATGCATTCCAGACAAGCCTAGTCTACCGAGTGAGTTCTAGGACAAGCTATAAAGATATGGAAAAACTCAGCATTGGGGAAAAATTAGAAATAAACCTGGTAGAAAATATACTGATTTTCAGACCTATCACACTATATTTATAATTCAAATTTCCCTAAGTTGGGTCAAGATGAATGCTTGACTTCATTTGTTGCTATGTTGTAATTTGTGAGCCATATACACCCTTTCCTCCTCACATTGGTTCTGGCCAGTGATTCTCACAGTAACAGTAACCAAACTTGAAGAAAAGCACAGATAAATGTTGACACATACATGAACTTTAAAATATCCAACCTGGAAATGGTTGAAATGGTGGGTTAGCTAAATTGCATGGTAGAAAACAATGTCTTGGATCTCTGTAGAGGTTTTCTGGAGGATATGGGGGTGGGAGGAAGAACCCAGCTCTTGGAGGAAGGTAAGGTAGAAAGCCACATGTTTCATATCCATTTCTCCCTGTTTGAAGACATGGGTAAAGGATAGTGCATGCTGAAACCAAATACTGTGCACTTTTTCATCCTCTAGGTCAAGACTCTATTCTGATATCCAAACACTCACACCACAGTATTTCGACTCCAAAACAAATCTTGACATTGAAAAGCACACGTCTTAACTACGTAGGATCAATGAGAACTTCACCATCAGATTCACCTGTGCTTGTCCTAACTTGGCAGGTAAGCATACTGACCTTGTCTACAGATTGAGTTCAAGGACAGGCTCAAAATCCATAGAGAAAGCCTAACGTGGGAAAAGCAAAACCAAAAACAAAATGCTCTGGTAAATTCACTGATTTTCTGACCTATTAAATGCAGTAAAAATTCAAAATTCCTTAAGAATCCTTGACTTCCTTTGTTGCTGAACTGTAACTTGAGCCATACAAACATCCCCTCAAGTTAGTTGTGGCCAGAGTTTAGCACAGGAACAGGAACCAAACCTAATGGAAAGCACAGGCAAATATTGACACATACAAGTACCTCTAAAATAGCCTACTTGGCATTGGAGGATATGGTGGGCCAATGAACTCTCTTGTTCGAAAATATCCCCATAGATTTTCTTGAGGATTAAAGAGTGAGGGAAAGAACCCAGCTCTTGGAGGAAAATGAGATGGAAAGCCCCTTGGTGCATACACATTTCTCCCTGTTCAAAGAGAAGTTGAAGTAAAGTGGGAGGAGATAATCCTGTACTGTACACTTGATAACCACTAACTCCAGACCTTATTTTACAAAAAGTAAAATGACTAATTTATGGAACCAAGTTTATAGGACATTGGAAGGTTTAATTGTAATCAATGGCAAACAAGTCTTTAATTCAATTAAAATGTATTTGATTACACATACAGTTAACTTTACACTTGTCTACCACAAGATGTTTTTTACACATTTCTAGTCTATAGACACAGCAGTTTAAGATATCCACAATTATAAGATTACATGAATAAAACTACAAAGATTATGGATGTGCTGATAATAAAAGAAAAAGCTATTATCCATAATAATATATATAGAAATAATTTACTCATAAGATCCATATATAAATCATTTGTCTTTACAAACTACTATCCTGAAAAAGTAATCAAATTAAGATTCTATTTCAACAATAACAGAATCACATAAGGAACCACAGCTGCTAAAATGAAAATGAGAAGAAATGACTGCCGCGGAAAGTACCAAATCTCCTTGTGTTTCAGGAGGTCTCAGTGCAGGCTAGAGGTTCAGGTGCAGGTTGTTGGAAAGGGGGAATCACATCTGGAGAGAGCTCTTTTCTACTTTAGCGTATGGGAGTCAGGAAAAGCTGGGTTCTGGGGGGAAGTTCAGAATGAAAGTCCATTGGATGGTACACATTACCCCCTGTTCCAAGATATGGGTAGAAGACAGTGGAAGTTGAACCCTGTACCATACACATCTTAACCAACTAGCTCCGGCCTCAATTCTGTTTTCCAAACACTCATACTAGGATTCAAAGCTATAGGGAAACCCTGCCTTGGGGAGAATAAAACAAGACCACCACCACAACAACAACAACAAAAAAAATCTGCTTGGTAATTTACTGATCTTCTGGCCTATCACAGCAAAGTACAATTTCAAAATACTCTAAGGTGTATCAAGGTGAAGCCTTGACTTCATTTGTTGCTGGACTGTAACCTGTTAGCCCGCACAACTCTTTCCTTCTCAATATGGTACTTGCAAGTGTTTATCTCAGTAACAGGAAATAAACTTGAAGGAAAGCACAGATAAATATTGACACACACATGGACTTTTTACACAATGCCTACCTGACATTGTAGGAAACTATGGGCCTCCAAAATCCCATGTTGGGACATACTATCCAGGACCTCCACAGATGTTTCCTGGAGGAGGAGGTGGTGTGATCTGGCCTCTTGAATTCCCTGGAACGGCAGGTACTTTAGGGACTCTAGGGCTTCTAACCTTTGGAACCAGTGGAGGAGTCATGCCAGAGTGAGCTGCTTTGCATTCAGAATGACCAGAGGTGGGCAAAGTTGCCGTCTGAAAAAAAAATGACAATCAGCAGTCAGTAAAGCTGCATCATTCACAGTTCTATTTGTGGGAGTGTTAGGCAGTGAGGAAAGTAGTCCATTACATTCCAGAAAACCTGGGAATAAGATAATTTTTCCACACCAGTGTAGGAGCTGATTATTCCCCATGTTAAGTACTCCATAGAGCTCAACAGAAATCTTTAAGCATGGTAGTAACACTCTGCCTGTTGCATACTCAAACAGAAGTACAGTTAGGGCATATCAAAACAGGCACTTTGTAAAATAAACATAAAACAGGAGGTGGGGCCGCAGGCCTTTAACCCAGAACTCCAGTGGCAGTGAGAGGTGGACCTCTGTCAGCTATAGGCCATCCTGGTCAATAGAGTGAGTTCTAGGACTGGCTCCATTGCTATTATGAAATGCTATCTTTGGAAAGATAGAATTGGGCTTCAGATTCCTTGAAATTGAAGTTAAGAATGGTTGTGAGCCATCACTCAGGTGCTGTGTGAATCAAACCCAAGTTCTCTAGGAGAGCAGCCTGTGTTCTTAACCTGTAAGCCATAGACTCATCCTATGTGCTTCTGGAGAAAAGTTCTGCTTATATAGCCCACACTGGACTTAAATTTGCCTTTTTACTGCCTCAGCCTGCCAAAATGCAAGGATTACGTACACCACCCAAACCCACCTAGTGATTTATACTATTTCACAGAACATTACAAGACAACAACGAAAGTCATGTGTTGCCCAGATCTTGCGAGGCTATATTCGGATCAAACAGAGAGTATCTGTATATTACAAAACTGCTGCAGGTTTTCCAGAATTTGAGAATTTTCATTCAAGGTATCTCTTATTACTCCCTTAAGTTGTTTTTTCAATGATTTCAAATACTGGCTTAAGTCAGAGAAATACACAGTTTATAACAAGTTAACAGAAAACCTCCTGTTTGTGTCTCCAATAAAGAACATGAAATTTAATCTAAGGCCAAAACATTCCACTATTAACAGCAGAGGAAGTATCAACACTAATTTTATACAGCACTCATTTGCAACAAGACTTGAGCAAATTATTGAACCTTCCATGTAGTATGTAGAGATTTTTGTTAACTACTGAATAGAAAAGAACAATTACTAAATACTGACATATTGGTTTATTTAGTGACTTACTTAAACACTGCCTGTACTGCCTATTTTCTATGCATGGCTTCATTTACTACCAGGAAGGGAATAACCTGGAGAAATAGCTGAAACAATGGGTTGTTGCCCTTAGCAACCTGCTATTGCCATGTACACTTCAGAAAACTCTAGCTTGCTTCCCTGCCCACTTTGTGATTTTAGAAAAGAAACCGGAACAAGAATTGAGGCTTTCTGGAATTGTCATGCAGACAGTACACTGGTGACAACTCTCTTTCATGCTCACTAGTTCAGGAGTAGATTTTCCAGAAAGATCCCACACTACTTACTCTGTCTCCTGCGCTAAACTTCATACTTCAGGAAGCAACTATATTTACTATCATTACATGTTAACACAACTTAAAGAGTGCTCAGATACAGTCCTAGTTTAAATATATTCAGGTGAAAATGAATTTCATTCGAAGTTACTCAGTTATAATTAAATGCATATTTAATATCTGCTATATTTCAAATCTAAATGTAATATTTTTTTCACCTAATATGATGGCTATTCTTGGTTGTTAATGGCATTTTGAATGAACTAAATCCCAAGGAAGCTGTTTGAAAATTTTCTAAATTAAATCATTTCAAAAGGGAAGACTCAATTTTAATCTGGACTTTATGAGGTGGGGAGATCTGCCTATATTTGGGGCTACACCTTATGGCAGCAGATTATCTAAAGGACATGGAAGTAGGAAGCTTGCTTGTCCTCACTCCCACTGGCATTATAGCCTACTTCTTTGGGATTGCTGTGTATACTGAGTATCAGATGAGACTTCTAGCCTCATACACTGAGCAAATACTGGATTCTTAGAATCTCTGTTGTTAGACTTTCATTGCCTGAATAACCAGAATGCAGCTTGACAATCACTCTAATAAATTCCCTTTAGAAAGATAGATTAGATAGATAGATAGATAGATAGATAGCTGCCATCCCCTAAGTTCTATTCCTCTAGAAAACTCTCACTAATATACCTAATAATAATATAAAAACCTAAATGTTCTTCAAAAGTTACAGACAGATTTAAGTAATTCAACTTAACTTACTTCAGCTAGTTGTGATTTGATAGACTTTTGATTCATTTTCCAGAGATTGTTTTGCTTTTGAAATATCACTCATCTGAAATGACAGTATCAGTCATTAAGTATTTAATGAGGCCCTTTTGCTCAAGAAAACATGCATTAGTTAGTACATTGTTAATGTACTATTAATAAAAGTGAGAGGCCAGCAAAGAGGCCTTGTCAGACTTCTTTCCTTATGTTTACAAGGATTTTACAAATTATGTAATAATAGTATTTCTACACAAATTCAATTTATCATAGCATTTTTCAGGTTCAACATGAACCTACTAATTCATATTTTAAATAATCTTACACACATCAAGAGTTTTCTTATACAAGAATTTAGAGTAAAACATTTATAAATATTCTAAATCAATATATGTATGTAATATATAAATATGTGTGTATTATATATGTGTATATATAAGTATATATCCTTCACTATGATAATTGTAGTCATGTATATATTGCTATTTGTAGAGTAAATATGGAAATTTGCCATGTAAAAGCATTGGGGAACACACTTGTAATCCCAGCGATTAGGAATCACAGGCAGGAAGGTCAGGAGTTTGAGACTCAATTATACAGTTATACAGTTATAGAGACAGGGCTATATTCTAAGACTGTCTCAACAAATGGAAATAATAAGAAAACAGGAATATGCAAACACAACTTATATTCATAATATCTAAAAAGTAAAAATTTTAGGAGAAGTGGGGGAACATGCCTTAAATTCCAGCAAACACCAGGCAGAGGAGGGTGGACCTCTATGAGTTCCAGGCCAACATGGTCTACACAGTGAGTTTCAAGGGCTGTTTGTCTCGAAAACAATAAGCAAAGCAACATACAAGCAAACATAGGTAATAATATCAGATGTAGAAATTTGTGTTCTCATGGTCTTCTACTTTACATTATTATTTTTGTGGGTGAGGGTTCAAGACAGGGTGTTTATGTATTGTTTTAGGACCTGTTCTAGAATTTGCTCCATAGACAAGGCTGGCCTCAAACTCACAGAGATCTGTCTACCTCTGCCTCCTTAGTGCTGGGATTTAAAGTGTTTGCAAGCAACGCCTGGCCTACATTATACTTTTACATACATTAATTTCTTGTTTTGTGTAATTTTTCTTTGATTACATTGATTGTTTGTCTGGTTGTTTTTTAGTTTTATTTATTAATTTCATTTATTTATATTTTTGAAGATAGTGTGTCCCCTCCCTGTGCAGACAAGAACAGCTTGAAACTCTTGTATCCTCCACCCAAGTGCTATCAACACAGGTTTGCACCACTATGGCTGGCTTACATGTAATACTTTAATCAATATCATATTAATATGTAAGATCCATAATTCTCGGGGAATACACAAGACGCATGAATTCATCACATTCATAATGCTGAGCTCTCCCTTCTTCTAGTTTTTTCTCTATAAGGAATCTTTCATCCTCGAGTTTGGATTTATCTCTTTCTATATTTTATAGGTTGCCTAAAATAGAAAGCTAACTTTTACAAGCCAGACATAAAAGGTTTTAGTTTGGGTCAAAGTCAGTTGTGTATAATTAAACAAATTCATAAACACTTTATACATTTGTTAGTTTCTCTAATATTAAAATGACAGCAGGTCTGGCGGTTGACAGCAACTTCTATAAAAAGTATATTTCAGTCTCACATCAGCAACCATGACAAAGACTACCCCTGAAGGAATTAATATATTTGCATTCCAATAAAACTTTTATGTCCAAATAGAGAAAAATTTAAGAATGTATATGGAGTCTAAACTTCTTCTGGATTCTACAATGGCATACTAAATCATAAGACACAGACTTGCTACTGAATACAGAGGATGACAGAACTTCCACGTTGTACTGAAACATAAATCAAAGGGGATGATTTGTTTTCTATTTTATCATCGGTAGGAACATGCTGATTATACTTACTAAACAGGCTCACAACTTAATGTTTACAAACCTTCCATCTGAAACAGTATCGAGGCACTTCATCACATCATAATCTATCTGCTAACACAAATCATTTTGTCCTCTGAAACAGGAGAATTATTAAATGTCCATCTCTCCTAAACTCTCCATTCAGTGAGATCATGTTACTCCCTGAAAACTAGCCATGGTGGAGTGTGTAGAAAGGGAATGGTCCATAGAAAGGGATTAAATATTTAACACCATGCCACTATTTACAATGTAAACCTCAGGTGTAGTTTTATTTAATGCGTACTACCATGGTAACAAAAAAAAAATATGGTCACAACTTACTTGTGTCCTACTATGCTCAAATTTGTGAGTGTTCTATGTCTCTTTAATGGAGCAAACTATGTCAAAAAAAGGAATGGTCTTTTCAATGCATTCTTAGGATTACAGAATGAAGGATTTCTTTCTATAAATCTATAGATTCTGATAAGCTTATTTTGCATCCCTAAAAAAGTTAATAACATGAACTGTAACTGTTTTTGTTTCCTCTGACTTTTTCTGTATGGTTTAAGATCCAGATATACCATTTCATATTTCTCTAAAATAATTAATTTTGAGAAAACTTATTTTCAATAACAATCTTCTCCTTAGCTTTTCAATCATACTTATTTTAACCTCCAAACTCTGTGCTTCTATTAACAACTTGTCAAGTTAAAAAGGCAACTTGTGAGTGAAAATACAAATTTTATCTCAAATTGTATCTAAATAGATACCACAAAGACAAACAGAACATATTTCCACATATGTAAACTTCCCTTGAATTTTTGGAGCTTACTTTTGCAATCTAAACACCATGCTGATCAAAGCCAGTTCCACAAAAAAGCCACAACCACAAGCCTGAGCAACATTTTGCACAACTTTACCCTTGTAACAAACAATGTTGTCCCAAGTCTGCTGGGAATGAAAACTCTAGCAGCAAGAGTGACTAAATCATATCAAAAGAAGTGAGTCATCTATTATTCGCTGAAAAGATTAATGGTTTCCCCAGTCTTTCAAGAGAGTAATGTGTGGTGACTGGATATACGATATTTATATCCTGTGACAAATAAAATAAGTAAAGAAGATAAAATATATGAGGTTGAGACCAGCCTGGTGTACAGTGTGAGTTCCAGGACACCCAGGGTTAAACAGAGAAATCCTGTCTCTTAAATCTCAGAATTTGTGCTATTTGGAGACAAAGCCCTTTGAAATAATGAGAATAAATGTGGTAGTTAAGATGGCCCTTACCTAACATTACTGATACCCTACAATAAAAGCATTGGGACTGAGTGAGACACAACAAGCAGTCAGCACTAACAACAAGTCAAGGGACAGGCCACAGAAGAAGCTAAGCCTGCCTAATTCTCCATGGACTCCTTCCCAGAACTGTAAAGAAATTCACTCCTGCTGGCTAGTGGACTATTTTATCTTCTTTGTGGGTATAGGGTAAAGCAATCAATGGAAGCAAACAAGAACACTCATGCCACCTAGAAAACAGAGACAGAAAATTGGAAGAAAAAATGAAAAAAACAAGATACAGTGGGATATGTATAAATTAAACATAAGGTAGGGCAACACCAGTAGAAAGTATTCTGGAAGGAACTAGAAAACCATGAACAAATGTCAGTAAGAAGTACAAGGGAAAACATCTAAAACAAAAACAAAAACTGAAGTCTCAGAAAGAAAAGGACATGTTATGAATCCTTCACAAAAAAAAGCATAGAAATAAGCAATTAAGCAATTTTGTCTGTAGAAGAGTAGAAGGAGTGTTGTAGTGTTATAGTGTTATATATTTTGAATTGAGAGGTGATATGCCTGCTGGCTTTTTAATACTGTTAAAAACAAACACAGACATCCCCCACAAATAAAAGAAAGAAGAAAAAGGGAAAATAGAAAGGGTGGGGCTTTAGTACTAAAATATAGTATCTCTATAAGGAAATACTTTAAAAATTTCTTACACACAATATTTCTATCCATATTCAGTTTCTAGTAACTACATATTACCATGCGTAACCCAGAACACTATAACCTAACTCCTTTCCCTGAAACAACAATTCTCTCCAATGAGTTGTTCAGTATAAACACTGAGTGATGGTTTGAAAGAAGTGTCTCTGTGGTTAAGAGCACTTGTTATTCTTGCAGAGGACCATGATTCAAATTCCATCATCCACATTATAGCTCACAATCATCAGTAACTCCCCTACCAGTGCATTCCACAATGGCCCAGTAGTCACATCTGTGTACCAGGAACACGTGACAAACACACATACATACAAGCAAAACAGCATACAAATAAAAGGAAATACATTTAAAAAACAAAAACAAAAAACTTAGAATGACCATTCATTTACTATGAGTGTTTACTTACTGATCAGTAGACTTTTCCAAGAAATGAGAAAATGGTAAGAAGTCCAAGGGCAAACACACATCTCATTGAATATAATGATGGCTCAATAGGATCAAAGCTTGCTGTCATATCTTCAGACACTGCTGTCACAAACTTCAAGACAAAGAAGATAAGCAAATAAGCATGCATCCACCACAGGGCTGATACAAACATGCACAGGCGGCTCTGGCCAACTCTATTCATAGGAAAATGGCTACCATAAAATATGAAGCAGAATGCTTCCAAAAATGTTTTCTGGCAACTTATAATTGTACTTACTGAGAGACTAAGTGTGGTGAAACATTAGTTTTCAAACAGGAGTTATGAGGAGATTCCACAGACCTTAACACCAGGAGAGTTAGAGGATAAGGATAGAGTGTCTAGAAAAGAACAGTGTGGAATATTTTATATGTGTTTCACTCTTTTACGTTGCATTTGTTTAACTCTGTAAAACTGTGTTACTTTGCCCATCTAAAACACCTGATTGGTTTAATAAAGAGCTGAACAGGACAATAGCTAGGCAGTAGAAAGGATAGGCAGAGTTGGCATACAGATAGAACAAATAGGAGAAGAATCCAAAAGAAGATCAAGATATGACAAGGGAATAGGAGGAGGATACCAGTGGACAGCCAAGGAGTAAGAAAGAAAGAAAGGCAATAGAATAAGAAAAGGAAAAAGGCCCAGAGGGTAAGCGTAGTTAAAGAGAAATGGGATAATTAATTTAGAAAAGCTGACTAGATGAAAGCTGACTTAAGTCCAGGTGTTCATAAAGAAGAATAAATCTCTATGTATTCAATTAGGATCTAGGTGGAGGACACCATCCCTACCAAAAACTTAAAAAAAAAAAATATCGAACTACAAGAGAATATCAATGATCTGGGTTGGGTGCTTTACTCTCACTTCAAGTTCTTGATTTATCTGTTTGTACTGGTTCTGTAGAAACATTTCCCTGCAAAGGAAAAACACAGGTCTGCAGCTTGTCCTGTGGGGGAGGAGTGGTCAAAACAACTGACAGGGCTACAGGGTTGGAATTTAAACCTTTCCTGTCTTTTATATTGTGTTAAAATAATGCAGTTTGAGCCCATGAAGAAAGCTGCTCTTTCAAAATCAGCCCTAGGAATGATGGGCTTGACTCTTTCCAGGCATCAACACACACCATCTAGAACCTCCCCAGCTGTCTTCCCCTTGGAGGGTCTGACTAAATAAACAGCCAGGGTGACCTTAAACTTGGATCCTTCTGCCTCTTCCAAGTATTAAAGAACAGGTGTGCTACCATTGCCAATTTAAGTGTTGTTGGGGACTAAATCAGGGCTTCCAGTATGCCAGAAATGAACACTTACCAAGACTACACTCCAGTCCAAAATTAACCAGTAAAAAAGGAATACCCTAGAGTACAAACAAAACAGTCACCCCTATAATGAGATAGACAGACAGACAGACAGACAGACAGACAGACACACACACACACACACACACACACACACACACACACACACACACTATTCTGTAAGGAAAACCTGACAATCACAGATGACTGACAGTTGTGAGCAGATAAGTGATTAGCAGACCCTGAAGGGCAGACACATGTGGCCTCACAAGTATGATAGCACAGAAGATTACATGGTAAGGGTGACAGAGAAAAAGAGAATTGGAGACAAAATGTGGTATACTACTACTGTGTATACATGTTATATATCCACTCAAAAGAACTGTGAGAAATGGTTCTTACTGGACTCAAAGTTGCTCTTCACATACAGCACCTTTGCAGGTCTAGTTGATTTCAGAATAAATCAGCTGGTCCCTAGCTATGGCATTGCTCTACCTCACTGCCAAGAATGCATGAATGAACCCTGCCTGGGAGGAGCCTGGAATGGTGTCTGATAAATGTCAGGTCAAGTCCCCCAATCATAACTTGTCTCAGGAAATATCCATGTCAGAACCTACAGCTGCATCTACAGAAACCACTTTGAGACCTACTTGTTTATCCCATGGAATTTTCCCCAGGCATGGGAAGTGAGACACCCTCGTGGTCTCCAGCAAGCCTATCTGTGGTTCCGGATGATGAGCAGCAAGCATAAGATCAGCTCCAAGTAGATGCACAGCACTTCCAGCCAGCTAGAAAAAAGATACATCACCTCACCTTCCTCACCTCCAGTGGCATTGTCAGTGCCTCCTCCACCACTGCCATGGTCCAAGATGCTGCCTCTGCTCAGGTCATTCTCCAAGGCGAACTCCACATGCAGCTCCTGAGGGAACCAACCCTACTTGCTCATGAGGAACTCCAGCCACCATGGGCAAAACACAGAGGCAGATGCGGAGCTGGTCCACAGCGGGGTAGAAAAGGCACTCTCAGCAGGGCTGAGGCCCACAGCCCATTAGGCAGCAGCAGAAAGGAGAAGATGTGCATGGTGAATTCCTGGGTGGCGACAAGGCTCAGGCTGCCTGCACACAGAGGCACACTGCCAGTCCGCATAGTCCTAGCAGCAGAACCGCAGCATCCCTGGAATCCAGCCTAGCTGCCTCTGCCTCTGACACCGCACTACCCCCACCCGGGCTACCCCGGTTTGGGTTCTGGGCACTGATGAGAAAAGCATCAATGACAAGGAAGAAGGGGGTGAAACCATCAAGCACCTCTGTGGAAGCCAATGCAGGAAGAGTTGGCAGAGACCAGGAAAAGCTGAGGCAGGTAGGCCTGCTCGCTGCCAGTCGCTGGTCTCCCATACTGCACATGTGGTCCACTTAACAGCTTCAGAACCCTGACTCCAACTGATGAGGCCAGGAAGTAGAAGTGCTCTGCCTCTGAGGAAACCTCAACTCTGGTCTCATCTGAAGCAGGATGCCAGCAGGCTGGAGGGCGTGGCCGGCGGCGAGGGGGCGTGGCCATGCCCTGAGTCCCTGTAGGGATGGGTCTGCCTTTGCCATGTGCTCATAATAGTGCCCCAGCATGATGGGAAACTTCCTGACTTTTTCTCTTTCCATTGGCTAAGGTCGCCAAGCCAGAGGGCCCCCAATGAAGTCTTCTCTATCGTCCCTGTTAGGAGTTGGACAAAGTCAGCTACCAAGGGGGTAGTCTAGGTGGCATGTGGACAGGCCTTCTCTTATTTGCAAGGGCACTTTGCTCCAAAAATGAGCCCTTGTTCTTAGGACATCTACTTTTAGGGAGACAACACCCCAAAAAGAGATTCCTTCTGACTGCGAAAAAATCTGCTAACAACAGCAGTTTGGGACTTATGAGAGAGCTCAATTTGTTAAGATCTTGTCATACATGCATGAGGATCTGAGTTCAACCCACAGCACCAATATGAAAAAAGAAAAAATCAAGAATGGTGACACATGTTCAGTGTTGATGAAATGAAGTCAGAAATCCCTGGGTATCCCTGGCCAGCAGGTCTTGCCTAATGGATGCACACAGTCCTCAGTAAGATAACCTGTCTTTAAAAAGTATGGCCTTCATACACATGCACTCGCATCTGTAGACATAGTGACTAGTTTGCAAATGAAATATGGCCCAAAGTGTCACCATACAAGTTCTATCACTGTGGTTATTCAGAGTTGACCAAACATACTGCATTTTCAAAGATTTGGCATTCTTATCAAGTCTCTTCTCCCTTTTCAATTTATGCTTTGAAGTAAAATCCAAAGGCTAGTGTACAGAGATGTCATACAACATAAATATGTCTTTGACCTCTGTTTTTATAAATGACTTTTGCCTTCCATTCTCTGTGTCTAATGTCCCTGACTCAAACAGTCAGATCTTCATGACACATATGCCACAATATTTCCTGAGCCTTATGTGTGCTTTGAAAGCTGTAGTGATCACAGGTAAGAGCACAGAGACTTAACAAACTTATTGAATAATATTCCTGTATCTTAAACTAACCTTGGTCCTGTTCTCATTCAGACTATTTGGGATCATCCTGATTATACCTAATGCACTTGAAGAATGAAATGTTTGTGATTTACCTATGTCCTCTCAAAGACTCCATATTCTACATAGGAGAGGTACTTCCTTCATCATGTTAGAGCATTGACCAAAATGATTATGAGCTTACCTCTAAGCAGACATGGAAAAGATCAGAGTTCAAATGTAGACCTTAAAACACAGCAGATCTCCTGGGCCACATACACTACTTGCCTACATCTTGAGTAAGAACCTTCTTCTGTAGGATTTCTGTAAAGTTAGTATAATTGATTTTGAAGATTAAACAATGTTATAAATAAAAGACAAAGTAAGAATGAGAAGGAGGAACAATTTTACCTACAAGTTTTGTTGGGAAAAGGGCTGGATTGCATTTGATAGTGGATGTTTCAGCCTTGGAACTATGGATAGAGTTGTTGCTAGTTTGAATAATGACTAGGACTTATTAGTCTGACATGGCGCTTCTGGGATAATATGATCAAAACTACATATGTATATGAATCAAAGGATATCAGTGCTTACCATTCAGTGCACATTTCAGTAGCAGGAATTAAACAATATTTCTCCTTTGAAGGGGTAATTTCCATGAAGAAGAATTGTAGGTAACATGATATGCTTAACAAATATGGTATATCAATGTTCCACAATGTACCATGGGGTAGATATGCAGAGTTCACCATTTCCTGGTGAGGAAATTCGGTGCTCTCAAAGAACCTTGTTCCAGGAACTCTGCTCATTAGTTGTAAATCACAAAGTCTAACACTGGCAAAACAGTTTGATAGGAATGAAGTAGGGCATGATTTCTAGAATTTTAAATTTTCTGTAGTTACATTTTAAAGAGGAAAAACCAACCTGGGCATTTTGCCATATACCTGTATTTACTGGTTCAAGAATAACAGATGGCAACACAGACTACTATACCCAGAAAAACCCTCAATAATTATAGATGGAAAAAACAAATTGTTCAGTAAAAAAGCCAGGTTTTCACAATATGTATCTAGATATCCAGCCTTATATAATGTTCTGGAAGGAAAATTTCAACACAACACACATAAAACATAGGCAATATATAATCCCACTTCAAAAGAACCATTGGAAAAGCAGGGCAAATAAATTCAAAATACCACTGTCAAAAACAAATCTAAATCAAACAAGAATTAACAATCAATGGTCCATACTTTCCCTCAACATTAATGGTCTTAACTTGCCTATAAAAAGACACAGGTTAACAGAATGGATATGAAGACAGAATCCATCCTTCTGGGTAAAGGATTGAGAAATGATCCCCCAATCAAATGGACCCAAGCAGGTGTAGCTTTCATAATATCTAACAAGTTAGACCTCAAAACAAAATCAGTCTATAGAGATGAAAAAGGTCATTTCATATTCATTAGAGGAGAATTACATCACCAAAAAGTCTAAATTCTAAACACCAATGCCGTAAATTCAAAGCCTGCCACATTCGTAAAAGAAAATGCTACAAAACGCAAAGCTCACATGAAACATCACACACTAATAGAGGGAGACTTCAAAACCCCACCATAAGCACTAGGCAGCACCACAAGACAGAAACTTAACAAGGAAACAAAACTACTTACAGAAGATATGTCTCAATTGGGCTTAAAAGAAATCTATAGAACATTCCATCCAAACACTAATGTATATACTTTCTTCTCTGTTCCATATGGAACTTTCTTTAAAATTGAACACATACTAGGGGACATAACAAACCTCCACAGATACCACACACACGCAAAAAAAGTGAATACTACCCAGTATTTTATCAGACCACCATACTACAGTAAAGTTGGAATTCAACAACAACACAAATCACAAACTCATGTAAACTGAACAATGGGCAATTGCACCATACCTGGGTAAAAGAAGAAAAAAAGAAAGAAATTAAAGACTTAATAAAATTAAATGAGAATCATGACACAACATACCCTTACCTATGGGACACCGTGAAAGCAGTGCTATGAAAGAAGTTCATTGAACTAAGTGCACATATGAAGAAAACAGAGAATAGTAACATTAGAAAATTAACCACACATCTAAAAGCTTTAGAAAACAAAAGAATCAAACACACCCCAAAGGAGCAGATGTCACACAATAATCAATTTGAGGGCAGAAATAAATAAAGTAGAAACCAGGAAATCAATATAAAAATCAATACAACATTGAGTTGTTTTTTTTTGAGAAAATTAACAAGATAGACAAAACTTTATCCAAACTAATGAAAATGCAGAGAGAGAACATGCAAATTAACAAAATCAGAAAGGAAACAGGGGGGGGGCATACCAGTGGACCCAGAAAAAGTCCAGACAAATTTCAGGTCATATATTGAAAACCTGTACCCACCAAAATTTGAAAATTCAAAGGAAATGGAGAAATTTCTAGATAACTATCACCAAAATTAAATCAAGAACAGAGAAAAAAACCTAAAGAGACCTACAACACCTAACAAAATAGAAGCAGTCATCAAAATCTTTCCACCAAAAAAAAAAAAAAAAAAAAAAAAAAAAAACAAGGGCCAGATGGCTCCAATGCAGAAGTCTACCAAAAATTCAATACCACCAATACTACTCAAATTGTTCCACACAATAGAAGCAGAAAGTTCATTACCAAACTCTTTTTATAAGGCTGCAATGACCGTGCTACCCAAAACACACAAAACCACAACTAAGAAAGAAAACTAGAGAAGAATATCCATCATGAACATTGATGCAAAAATCCTCAATTATATACTGGCAAACTGAATCCAAAAATACATCAGAGAAATCATCCAGCATGACCAAGAAGGCTTCATGCCTGAAGTGCAGGAATGGATTAATATATGAAAATCTATCAATGTGATGCATCATATAAACAAACTGAAAAAGAAAAACTAAATGATCCTCTCCCTAGATGCTAAAAAAGCCTTTGAGAATATTCAACACCAATTCATGATAAATATCCTGGAGAGATCAAGGACAACAGGAACATATCTAAACATAATAAAAGCAACATACAATAAACCAACAACCAACATCAAACTGAATGGAGAAAAGATTAATGTGAGTCTTCTAAAATCAGGAACAAGACAAGGCTGTCCTCTCTCTCCATATTTCTTCAATATTGTACTAGAGGTTCTAGGTAGAGCAATAAGACAACAAAAGGAGATCAAAGGGACACAAATTAGAAAGGAAGAGGCAAACTGTCTATAGTTGCAGATGACATGATAGTTTGCATAAGCCACCCAAAAAACTCCACCAGGGAACTCCTACAGC